TGGCCGTTGTAGTGTCAAAACCACCTTTTGCCATTTGTCAGGTCTGGGCTCAGAGACTGGCCGAACGGTTGGAGGTGGCTCTCAAAGTCAAAGTCTGGGCAAGATTAATGTTTCACATATGTGACACCAATTTTATTTCTTGGCATGTCAGGTTCCAGAAGTGACGGTGGTGACAGCGTCTGACTCGGAAAAATCAGGTGAACAGAACGCCCTCACCCTTTTGAGGATGGGGAGTTGTGGCAGAGGTCAGCGCTGACCTGTGTGATACTTCTCACTGGTGCTGGTTATTGATTTTTTTTTTTTTTTTTTAAATTGCTGATGGTGAAGAGAAACCTGATGACTGTAGGAACGTCCAAGATAGCTGATGTATTGCTTTTTTTGTCAACAGGAGAGTTAAGCCCCCTGGCTTTCTGCCAGTGGTTTTTTTTTTTAGCTCCTCTGTTCCAAGCTCCACAGGCTGTAAAGGGACAGTAGGAGAGAAGCAGCTGCAGCTCCTCCAGCCCCTTTGTGGCTTCTGGGGAGTTGTCCCTGCCCCAGGTGATTGCAGGGAGGGCGGTGGGCAGGGCCCGGGGTATATAAGCCACAGCCCCTGTGGAGGGAGCTCGTTCTGCTCTGGGGCTTCTCTGGGATGAAAGCTCTGCTGAGCCTTCAGTGACCTGTAGCTTTGAGGGGACTCAGCTGTGGGGGTAGGGGTGTTTGAGAAGAGCAGAGGTGAGAAGTCTGAGGTAAAAACCTTCAGGACCAGGTAAAGTTTAGTGGTATGTATAGCAGAAAGGAGACTTTTATGCAGCTTTTTTTTCCCCTCTCTTTTTTTTTTTGTTTTTCCTCCCAAAGGTCAATAGTTTTCTAATGAGTGTTCAGGGTTAATTCATCTGCTTTCATTTCTTCCAGCTGCAGTGTCTTTTCTTGGGAGAAAGAACTCTTGGCCAGGAGGTGTAATGACAGGACAAGGGGAAATGGTTTTAAATTGGAAGAAAAAAGATTCAGATTAGACCTCAGGAAGAAATTTTTGACTCTGAGGGTGGTGAGAGCCTGGCCCAGGTTGCCCAGAGAAGCTGTGGATGTCCCATCCCTGGAGGGGTTCAAGGGCAGGTTGGAGGGGGCTTGGAGCAACCTGGTCTGGTGGGAGGTGTCCCTGCCCAGGGCAGGGGGGTTGGAACCAATGATCTTTGAGGTCCCTTCAACCCAAAACATTCGCTGATTCTTTCTTCTCTCTTTCTTTCTTCCTTTCTTTCTTCTTCGCTGATGCTTCCTGCCTGCCTGCTGCCGCCCGTCGTCGCCGCGGGTTTGTCCTCCTTCCATTAAAATGCTGTTATTTGAGTTTCAATTAAAGGTGCCTATTTATTGGTTTGTTCCTGTTTTCATAATGGTAGTACTTTTCCAGTTATAACAAGTTAATGATTTGTTCTGGCTGCCTTGTCAAATATAGGACTTAAATATACCTTTGTCCATGATAAGTGCTTAAATAATACTGTTGACTTTATTCTTGTGCTGTTTCCATGTCATAAGTTTTAAGCAACAGCTTTCTTTGTTCATATTCATTTTAGAGGTCGTATAAATTACTTGATAATTTTCTGACTATATATTGTTCATTTGAATTGTGGTTAATAACAAAGCTGACTCATTTTGTGCTGACATCTGAAAAGCAGACTACGTAAAGTGGAATGCAAGTGCAATAATAAAAGATCTTGGTATCTCTGAACTTGAGAGATGATTACTTAAGTAGTTAGAAACTAGGGTGTTGCAGCATGTAATGATAACGGTACACTAGCAAAAGGTGGTAAGCAAACAGGCAGGGACCTAATGACATTATGACAGTGCTGTTAATCATTTCCAGAGACATTAAACTTAGAATGTTAAAACTGAAATAACATTTAGATCTTCTTAAAGGTCAGCACTTAAGATGACATAAAGGCACTATGGCAGCATGGACTCATGCCCATGGGTGAGTGGTGATATAGCATCTCCTGGGGAGGAAACACAAAGTTGAATCAGGTGGTAATTGGGAAGGCTCATAA